CCTCCACCTGCTGTCTTCCTAAACCAGTATAATTTTTAAATGCTTTTCATTATGCCCAGAATCACAGAGCTCTTACCCCTCATCAAAGAAACTTATTTTTTTCAGCAGATAGAGACAATTACAGAAATCCACCATGAGGAGCAGATAAGGGGCACAGCCATGTCCCAGACCCATAGAAATGGTACAGTCTTCCCCAGTGAGGCTCAGAGAGAAGGGAAAGCCTCCTTCTGGTCCAAGTACAGATGCTACAAATGATTGGCTTTTAGCTCAACCACAGCTCCCGCCACCCCCAGCTTTTTACAGCATGAGACTACTCCCTCGAGTAGCCTATAGAGACTCTCTAAACTTGCTTCCTTGATTAAGCTGTGTGAAACAAATTCCATAAGGCTGCTGCTGCTGCATCTCCATCAAAGTGCACGACCCACCTGATCCCACCTTTTCTGCATGTGTGTCCTAGTTAGGGTTACTATTACTGTGATAAACACTGTGACCAAAGCAACTTGGTGAGGAAAGGGTTTATTTCAGCGTATACTTCCCAATCATCACTGAGGGAAGTCAGGACAGGAACCTGGAGGCAGGAGCTGATGCAGAGGCCATGGAGGGGAGCTGTTTACTGGTTTGCTCCTCATAGTTTGTTCAGTCCATCTTGGACTACCAGTCCAAGTATGGCACCATCTGCAATGGGCTGGGCCCTCGCCATCAATCACTAACTAAGAAAATGCCCTACAGTCAGATCTAATGGAGACATCTTCTCAATTGAGGTTTCCTCCTTTCAGATAACTCTAGCTTGTATCAAGTTGACATAAAAGTAGCCAGCACAATTGACCCCTTGTCAGCTTGACACACAAACACGTTACTGTTAAGCTATAGCCTTTTCTTTCTTGTTATTCCCTAGTAGTATACATTAACATAAACATTACCATATAAACATTCCAAAATTTAAAAGTTACACAGAAATTCAAACACTTAAAAATTCAGTCTGTTTAGAGGAGAACAAGAAAAGAGCCATTTATAGGTTTGAATTTAAAACTGGCACTAGGGAAATGTCTAAGGACCTACAAGGATGACCCCAACAATCTGAGCAACAGTGGAGAGGCTACCTTAAATGCCCGTCCCTGATAATGAGATTGACAACTACCTTATATGCTATCCTAGAGCCCTCATCTAGTAGCTGATGGAAACAGAAGCAGATACCCACAGCTAAACACTGAACTGAACTCCTGGAATCCAGTCTCAGAGAGGAAGGATTGATGAGCAAAGGGGTCAAGAACAGGCTGGAGAAACCCACAGAAACAGCTAACCTGAACAAGGGGGAGCTCGTGGACCCCACACTGATAGCTGGGAAACCAGCATAGGACTGACCCAGAACCTCTGAACGTAGGCCTCAGTTAGAAGGCCTGGGCAGTCTTTGGGACCTCTGACAGTGGAACCAGGATGTATCCCTGGTGCACAAAGGGACTTTGGGAGCACATTCCCTTAGCCTAGAGACACGAGGGAGGGCCTGGGCCCTACCCCAAATGACTTGACAGATTTTGATGATCCTCCTAGAAGACCTCACTCTCCCTGGGGAATGGGTGGGGAATGGGATGGGAAGGGGTGGTGGGTATGGGAAGGAGGGAGAGGGAACTGGGATTTATATGTAAAATAAGAAATAATAATAATAATAATAATAATAATAATAATAATAATAATAATAAAATTACCCTTAAAATTTTCAGTCTCCTTAAAATCCAAAGGGGCTGGAGAGATGACTCGGGGGTTAAGAGTACTAACCCAGATGACAGCTCACAACTGCCTGTAATTCCAATTCCAGGGGACCTGACACCCATGATGAAACACCAATGCACATAAATAAAAACAAGAACCAAAGTATTTTAAAATTCAAAGTCTCTCAACTGCGGGCTCCTGTAAAATAAAAAATAAATTAAATACTTTTGTAAGAGGGGAGAACCAGGGCCCAGTCACAATCTGAACAAAGCAAACCAAACTCCAAAAGTATATGTCACTCAATGTCTAATTATCTGGGATTCACTCATGATCTTCTGGGCTCCTCCAAGGAGCTTGGGTCACTTCTCCAGCTCTGTCCTCTGCAGCACACAAAGCTTGTTTTCTAGGCTCCAGCTGGCTCTATTCTGGTTCCTCTCCTCACTGCTACTGTTCCTGGTGGTCATCCCATGGTACTGGCATCTCCAAGACACTCAGGTCTTCTGCTGCAACTGGGCTGAACTTTCACCAATATTCTGTCCTGGACTCTTCATGGTGTCAAGCCTCAAGTTCTCTTCGTGACCCCTCCAGTCATGGGCTTCAACTAATCCTGAGGCTGACCCTTCACCAAGAAGCTAAGCCAAGCCTTAGCTTCTTTCCATGACCCTTTTGTACCTTCAAAACAAATACTACCTGGGTGATGCTTACACTACCAAGTTCAGCTGCCAGTATGAAGAACAACCTTGGCTGCCCCTGGAACACAGCTTCTGTGTGCTGACCCTGAGGAAACACTTCCCAGAAGACTTCACCTCAGTGATGCTGGTCTCTGCTCAATCACAGCTGGTTCTACAGCCCCAGCTGACCAGACACCACAGATTCTTCACACAAAAGGCTCTGTAGAGTCTTTGCTTTCCTCTGAAACTTCACAAGCCTGGCCCCCATTGTCTGCACTGCTCTCCACACTCTTATTTCCAAGATCTCTAGAACATCCCACTGAACTCTCAACACTCAATGGCTTCTCTTGCCCTATTTTCCAAAGCCCTTCCATAATCCTCCCCCAGACAAGATTATCAGGTCTGTACAGCTAGGATATCTGAATATTCTTTGAATCCCCCAAGACAGCGCCCCTTACCAGCAGGAAGTAGTTTGGAAAGAACGACGCCCAAATTCCCAAATATTGTGTATAAATGTTTGTTTTCATTTAATTGGACTTTGTTATATAAAATTAAATAAAAAATACTCTATATGCATAAAAAAAGATTATCAGGTCTGATATAATAATGCCCCATGATCTTAGTGTCAATTTCTGTCCTAGTTAGGGAGTGTATTGCTGTGATGAAACACCATAACCAAATAAACTTGAAGAGAAAAGAGTTTTTCTCAGCTTATACTTCCAGTCCATCACTGAAGGAACTCAAACACATCAGGAACCTGGAGGCAGGAGCTGATGCAGAGATCTTGGAGGAGTGCTGCTTACTGGCTTGCTCAGCCTGCTTTCTTACAGAACCCAGGACCACTAGTTTAGGGATGGCTCCACTCACAATGGGCTGAGCCCTCTTGCATGAGTCACTAATTAAGAAAATGTCCTACAGCCAGATCTAATGGGGGCATTTTTTCAGTTGAGGTTCCCTACTTTCAGATGACTCTATCTTGTGTCAAGTTGATATAAAACTAGCTAGCATGGTGTCTGTGTGCCTTTGATTTCTACATTCCTTTGTCACCCTAGTTAGGTCAGTCCTTAAGCTGTGCAGATCACATCAATTAGGCCATTCAGAATAGGGAATATCTTTGGGTGTGCCCAGCCCCCAAATAGTGGACCTACAGTGCAATCCTTACACCCAAGGGTCAGGGAATGTCATGAAAGAGGGAGAGAAAAGATTGTAAGAGTCTGAGGACCAGGGTGCCTGCTGTGAAGTAGGGTCTTCTAGACATGATAGGGATGGTGCACTCATGAAATCTCAACACAGGGGCATCTAAACAAGACCTACATGGACCTGTTAGCATACATGTATGGGGGGCAGGTTTCATAAGGTTTTACCTTTAGACAAAGAGCTATAGGCAAGCAATGGCTGCTGAGGAGAGAGAATCAGTTTTCTTCAAAGATGAACCCCCTGATAAGTGGTTAGCCCTAAACACATGTGTACATGAGCAAAACTAAGTAGACTCAGTAGGTTTTATATAACATACATGACACACCACATACACACACACCACACACCACACACACCACACTAACACACACCACACACACATACCACACACAACACACACACAATACACACCACACATACACCCCACAGTCTCCCCACCACACACACAAACACACACCACAGACACAAACTCACACACACTCACATACCACATATACCACCCACAGCCCCCCACATCACTGCCCCCAACACATGTACACACACATCACACATACCACACACCACACACACAAACACACACACACACCACACATACCACACACACACACCACACTAACATACACACACCACACTAACACACACCATACACACATATCACACATAACACACACACAATACACACCACAATACACCCCCACAGTCTCCCCACCACACCCACAAATACACACACACACCATACATACAAACTCACACACACACACCACATACACCGCCCACAGCCCCCCACACCACCGCCCTCCCAAAAACACATATACACACACACCACACATACCACACACACCACACACCACACACACACCACATACACACACAAAATACATACACACCCCCCACACAAATACACACACCACCACCAACAACAATAGTAACAAAGGAAGACAAGGCCATGAATTTTAGATGGGGAAGAGGAGGGATGGAAAAATACAAGTACAGTATGAAATTCTTAAAAAATTTAAATTAAAAAGAATACAAGGGCTTGAGGATGGGATGGGTAGGTGGGTGTGGTTGTTGAAGAAGTTAGGAGAAAGAATGGGGGTGAATATGATCAGAAAAAATTTTATAAACTTCTCAAAGAATTGATAGAAATATTTTAAAAAATAAGATAGCCAGTTCAGGGTTACAACTCTTAACTATGTAACTTAGGAAGGAAGTTGTGGTAGAAGTTAGAGAGCAAAGCCAAGCCAGGATAGGTCATATTATTTTAGATACGAACTTTATCTAAATCCAGTTTTATATACTTTTTCATTCTTAGCATAGCCAGAGAGAGTAGCATAGGCCTCCCTTTAAGTTGTTTTCTAAGACTCTGCCTTAAGTTCAAACCCTTGGCAGCTCAGACCCTTTCCCTGCTGTTCCGAGTCTTTGCCGTCACTCCAAGTGATGCAGGCATTTCCCCAGTGTCCTTCTCACAGCCGCCTTCACCTCCTTGTTTTTCAGGCTGTAGATGAGGGGGTTCAGCATGGGTGTGACTGCGCTGTACTGCAAGGAGGAGAGCAAATCCAGGGAAGAGCCAGATGTGGGCATAAGATAACGAACCAAACCCGACCCAAAAAACAGGACCACGGCTATGAGGTGGGAAGAGCAAGTATTAAATGCCTTGCTCCTCCCTGTGGTGGATTTCATGCTCAGGATGGTGGAGACAATGCGGGCATAAGAAAAGAAGATTGGGAGAAAGGTTCCCAGCCCGTGCAGCAAGGTGGAGCAGATCAAGATGTCAACGTTGATGGAAATGTCAGAGCAAGATAGAGGAAAGAGAGAGGGCAGCTCACACGTATAGTGGTGTATGATGTAGGCTTCACAGAAGTCCAGGTTGACAGCCAAGAGAACAATGACTACTGAGCTAAGAGAGGCCAGACCCCAGGAGAGCAGGACCAGCTTCTGACAGAGTTCATTGCTCATTATCTGGCCATAGAGCAGCGGGTGGCAGACAGCAGCATAGCGGTCATAGGCCATCATTGAGAGAAGAAAGGCTTCAGTCCCTGCAGTGATGAATACAAAGAAGACCTGAGCAAGGCAGCCCTCTATGGAGATGCTTTTCTTCTCAGACAGGAGGTCCTTCAGCAGCTTTGGTACCGTCACGGACGAGAAGCAGAGGTCCAGGAAGGACAGGTTGCTTAAGAAGAAGTACATAGGTGTGTGGAGGTGGGAGTCAGCCCTGATCACCAGCAGCATCATCAGGTTTCCCGTCATGGTGAGGAGGTAAATCCCCAGGAAAAGCACGAAAAGTAGAGCCTCCATCAGGGGGTCGTCAGAGAGCCCAGTGAGGATGAACTCTGTGATGGCGCTGCGGTTCCTCCAGGCCATTTGTGGATGGCACTTCCTTGAAATAAAGTAAGAAGAGGTTATATCTCTAGTGATTGTGACTATGTTCTTTGGGGTGTCACCCCATCTAGCCTGTCTCTCCACTTTGTCTGGACTCTGCTCAGGAATCTCAGAGCTGCCCTCTTTTTGTCTTGGTGAGAATTTCAAATCTTGTTTGGTCATCATTGATTTCAAGTCATAGTTTTCACATACGTCAAGAGAATTCTATCCATTCCTCACTGGCATTTGCAGGGAAAGTGTGTGTCTCTGGACTCTCCATTTACTCATAGTCTTAGTGTCTACTTCACTCAATTCAGAAATGTAAAAATGTATAGCACATGTTTGCAGACTCTAATCTCTCTCTCTCTCTCTGTTTAAAGTAGTGCACTGGCTCATTACCAGGGCTGACTCCATTAGGTACAGTGAGCACAGTGCCTGGGGTCACAACCTTTCAGTGGCAGGGTGAAAATATTTTTCTATACGATTAGAGTAATCTGGGTATGGTGGTGAAGACTTACAATCTCAGCACTCTAGAAGCTAAGGCAGGAGGACTGCTGTGAGTACCAAGTCTCGGGCTACTTATGTATTACTAGGTTAATTTCAGGTACAAAATGAAATGCTTCCAAAGAAGGAAGCATTGCATGTAGCGAGACCAATTTTAGTTATCTTTATAACGATATAATCATAAAATATAAACTAAATTTTTATGGGAAGAGGGAGCCACGAAAGCAAAGCAGCTGGCATGCATAGAAGTCTCAGGGGCCCCACAGACAGCACACTTCAGTAGCTCAGCACACAGAACTTTCTCAACCCCTCTCTCTCTCAGCTGCTTTCAAATCTGTAAGAACAGGTAGGACATTCTCATCCCTAGGATACAGAGCTTTGTCCCTACTTTTTCTGTGAGAAAATTGGTACCCAGGGATGTTTTGTAATATCAGTTTGGCAACATGTAAAAGAAAAATTAATGATACAGCTTTCCTTTGGCTGTCAACTCTGACTAGCTGGGATCACAGTGAAGTTACAGTTTCTTACTTTGATATCCACCACCCGCCCTTAATCTTTCAACCATTTTACTTGTTTTTTTTTTTTTTTTTTTGGGAAAAAAAAGATTTGTTTCTTTCTGTGTCATTGTTTGCATTTTCTAGCACTTTAAATATATCCCCCTTTTTAATTTTTCGAATCTAAACTTCCATGAGCTTTCCAATATCACCTAAAAACTACATAAAACAATAGCTTATCTTGGTGACTTCCCTTTTCAACCCACACTTTCTCTTGCTTTGGTTATAGTCTGAATTGTGTCCCCTGCCCCCATGTCAAACATGCATTTCAGTTACCTTCTGCAGACTGTGACACAGACCATGATATAATAGCTGTCTTAAAACATCACTCTTTGGACACCATCAGTGCTCATTTCATACTAGTTGCAGACCATACCTCTTCTACTGTCCTGCAAGCCCCCACTCTATGGCATGTTTGGATAAGAGTCTGGCTACTGTAATTGTAATTGCATCCCTCAACAGCATTAGTGCCCAGAGGAGGTATTGCTGATCTTGTCTAAGGTGACTGTTGCTGAATTTCAAGGGTGCTGTCATCAACAGAGTGCATCCTTCGAATCACTGCACCATCCTCTGATGCTCTCAGTTTTGGAGAGGCCACAAACAGTGCTGCATTAGTTCAGAACACTGTTTGCATTGCTGCTGTTGTTGTATTATTCTTTTCTCATCTTCTATCATCATAATATCCATTATTATTTGTTAAAATTTACATAAACTGTGTCCAAGAGGGCCAAGAGTACAATGCTCATGGTAATGATGATACTAAAAATATTGAAACCTGATTGTGGGCTGTGTAAATAAGTCATCATCCTGGGTAAAGATCCTGTTCACTTGCCCCTCGTGATCCAATTTACCAATATTCTGCTTCTGTTTGGTTTCTATAATCAGCTTCTATGGTAGGCTTCTACATTTTAAAAATATCTCATCTTGCTTATTTAGGTATTCATGATTCCAGCCCTTCTGTTCCTTACCATAACCTTTAGACAGGCAATAAACTAATAAGAGAAATGTAAATTCTGATAATTAGCGAATCTACCAACTTGAGCTACAGCCCATCTTAGATCCAAGTCTAGGCCACCATTGTGCCTGGACAAACACCTACCTTTGTGTGCTGGGAGGTTAGAGGCAATGATGGGGTAATGCAGGCAGCTGGAGAAGTTACTTTAGAGGATTCTGCACAGATGAAACAGTAAACACTGTTGAAAGCAAATGCTTTGTAATCCATGTAAACTGGTCAAGCAGGAGACATTTTCTCTAAAGACTCGGACATTTCAAGGTGTTTGTACATAAAGCTATCCTAAAAATCTCTTCTATCCATCTCAGTGCAGAATAGCAGCTGCAGGCTCTGGTGATAAGAACACTGGGTCCCAGACAGACAACTATAGTATGTACTCACTCATAAGTGGGTACCAGACATAAAGCAAAAGATACCCGGCCTACAATCCACAGTCCCAGAGAAGCTAGAACCCTCTTCCAGCAACAATTGGAAGCAGGTACAGAAATCCACAACTAGGCATTGGGCAGAGCTCCTGGAGTACAATGGAAGCAAGGGAGGAGTGATAATATGAACAAAGGAGTCAAGACCATGATGGGGGAAATCCACAGAATCAGCTGACCAGAGCTAGTGAGAGATCACTGACTCCAGTCTGATAAATGGGGAACCTGCATAAGACTAAGCAAGACTCCTTTAATATAGGTGACAATGGTGTGACTGGGACAATATAAGAGGGCACTGGCAGTGGGTCTAAGATCTAACACTAATGCACAAACTGACTTAGTGGAGCCCATTCTATATGAAGAGATAGCTTGCTCAGCCTAGACACAGGGGTGTGGTGGGTGAGTAGAGAGGTGTCTTTGGTCTTGCCTCAATGAGATGATGGGACAGGCTTAGTAGATTTCCTAGTGGGGGGCTTATCTTCTTCAAGGAGCAGATGGGAGGTAGAAGGGGAATGGGGGGGGAGCAGGGAGAGAGGAGGGAAGGGAAACTGGGATTGGAATATAAAAAATAAATTAATAAAAAAGTGCCAAAAAAGAACACTGGGTGCTCTGGAGGACCTTTTCCTTTGGGGTGCCATCCCATGTCGTCCATCTCTGCGCTTTGCCTGGCTTCTGCTCAGGTATCTCAGAGCTGCCCTCCCTTGTATCTTGGTGAAAATTTCAAATCCTGTTTGTGTTTTTTAAATCCTTCCCTCAATCTGAAGTTTGTATGAGAAGACAGAAGCTGTGTCTCTCATTTGCTTTTCAAGTTATTACAAGGATGTGAGACAAAAAATGTCTTTCTCACACTAGTTGCTTGCAGACGTTGTTGGAATAAAGGAGTGAGGGGTTGGTGTGGAAGGTGAGCCACGAAAGGCGATGGGGGGGATCCTGGGGTCAAGGACTGCCACTCAGGCTGTAGGCACACGGGGAATCAGCGTAGGGGTGGACAGCAGGGCTGACAGCAGGAAGGATTGCATTTTGACTTTCTGAACTGTCCTGTACACACTCACACTGTACCTGTGGTGAGCGGATTTGAGGATGGCTTCAATAACAGCAAAGCCATGGTGCAGTTTGGGGCACAACCTCAATAGCCCTACATCTATTCCTATACATTCACTGCATTCTAAGGGTCTGCTTGCTTTAACCTCTGCAATCCCTCGGACTGAAAGGGGTTATGCTAGGTCTTTAAGGCGTTCTGTAGTCAGTGGTAATGAGGGAGTGAATAAAGACTTTTCTGATAAGGCATCTAAGGCAGCAGGTACAAATAGACCTTTTGGAAACACAGAGGCATTTGGGTCCTGAGATGGGGCGATGGTCTGCCAGGGGTTAGGATGGGATGTGCCCATCTCTAGTTTAGGGATGAAGGCTGGGAGGATCAGGATGGAAAGAACCAATCAGAAAGTAGTAAGAGGTGTGCAGAAAAGGGGAACAATTAGCAGCAGAATTTAAGCACACAAACAGGGACACAGCAAGATCAAAGAGTCTTACCTTACCATTCTCTTGGCTTTTCTTGGAGGGAGTAGCTGTATGTGTCCCATCTTTCTCATCATGACAGACATTTCACAGGAAAAAAAATCTTCATATGAGGTAATCCCAACCTTAGGAGTCTGATTCTGCACAAAAGACATGTCTTCTCTTTGCTCTTAGTGAGCACAAGATGCTAGAATAATATAAACTCCAGAACTGTTGGCTATCTCACAGAACCACAGTTATTCTGAGGACCTCAACCTGAGTGCCATTCTGTAACACAGGACCCTGGGGGAAGAGAAGGGCATCTTCTGCCAAACGGTTGTTGGGAACAACAGGCATGCGTTGCTTTCAAGCCTTGTCCAGCAGCTTCAGGTGCAGCAGCTGACTTCATTTATTTCTTCTGTGACTTTGAATATTCTTGGAGAATTTAAAGAATTTAAAGAAACAGATTCCTCTAACAGAACCAATGAGAAGGCTCTCTGTGGTTCGGCTGGGGCCCAGGGGAAACTGAGCCAGTGTGAGGTTCCCTGAAATCCCAGCCCAAAACTGAACTCAGCTTCCAGTTTGCTGAGAAGTTGAGTTTGGAGCCCCAGGGGATGACCTGCGGGGCAATACTTGAACATATGATCTATGACAATTATTTAAAGCCTAGAAGTCATCTTTTATTAAACTGGTGGAGGAAAGGAGAAAAAAGGGAAAGGACTTAAGGAAAAAGTAGAAAACATACCTTTTTTCCCCATGGCAGCTTGGGGCTGGGAGTGCCTGCTGGTTGCTGTCAAGGGGGCAGAGCTGTGACACATAACAGACACCACGTCATTTTCTAGTGCACTTTGTATTTTTTTTTATTTACTTTTTATTTTTTAAGTTAGTTTCAAGTATTCCAGGGTGGTCTTGAACTCAGTATGTAGCTGAGGATGACTAAGACAATTGGTACCAGCATAGTGGGGTATTGCTGTGACAGATCTTATCACATTTTTGGGAGAATTGTGGAAGGGCAAGAAAAGTCATTGAGTGTTGAGAGCTCTGTGGAATGTTCTGTGGGAACTTGGAAGATAAGAATGTGGAGAGCAGGGCAGAAGATGGAGGCCTGGCTTGTGAAGTCTCAGAGGGAAGATTAAAGATGCTATCATTTTATTATTTTGAATTAAGATCCCATGGTTCTGGTTAGCTGGGCCTGAAGAATCAGCTGTGATTAACAAGACACCAGAACTACTAGAGAGAAACTTTGCTTTGCTGGGATTCTTGATGCTGGTCAGCTGGAGCTAAGAAATTAGCAGTGGTTGAGACCAGCATCACTGAGGTGAAATCTTCCGGGAAGTGCTTCCTGAGAGCACAGAGAAGCTATGTGCCAAGGTTGTACCTTGTGCTGGCCGCCTAACTTGGTAATGTGTAAGAGTCACCCAGGAGGCATGAGGGGGTGATGGATAGCAGTTGAGGTTTGGCATTGTGACAGGCCAGGATGGGCCATTGATGAAGGTGCAGCCTCAGGATTAGTTGAAGGCCAGGACTGAAGGGGTCGTGCAGAGAAGTTGAGGCTTGGCACCATGGAGAGAGCCTATGAGAGGCTGTAGGTGAAAGTGCAGCCCGGTTGTAGAAGACCTGAGTGTCTTGGAGATGCCAGTGCCATGGGATGACCACCAGGAACAGCAGCAGTGAGGAGAGCCTAGAAGACAAGCTGTGTGTGCTGCAGAGGGCGGAGCCAGAGAAGTGGCCCAAGCTCCTTGTAGGAGTCCACAAGATGGCGAGTGAATCCAGACAACTGGACATTGAGTTATTGACACTGATGGAGTTTGGTTTTGCTTTGTTCAGACTGTGACTGTGCCCTGTGTTTTCCTCTTTGGAGAAGCTATTTAATTTAATTTTGACTTTACAGGAGCTCACAGATGAAAGACTTTGAACTTTTAAAAGAGATTTTGGATTTTTAGAGATTATTTAGTTATTAATTAATTTTTTGGTTTTGTTTTTTGAGACAGGGTTTCTGTGTAGCTTTGTAGACCAGGCTGGCCTTGAACTCATGGAGATCTGCCTGCTTCTGCCTCCTGAGTGCTGGCGTTAAAGGCGTGTGCCACCACCACCACCTGGTAAGATTAAATGTTTTAAAGAGATAGAAATTTCATTGAGTTTGGATTTGTTAAGACTGTGAGACTTTTAAAGTTGTTTATTTTTTGTTTAAATTTATTCTTTTTATTTTATGTGCACTGGTGTTATGCCTGCTTGTATGTCTGTGAGGTGTCAGAGCCCTGGAACTGCAATTAGACAGGTGTGAGCCGACATGTGGGTGCTGGGAATTGAACCTGGGTCCTCTAGAAGAATAACTAATGCTCTTAACTGCTGAGCCGTCTCTCCATCCCCATTATTTGTTTTTAATGTGATGTCGTGGGGATGAATAAGAAAGGAAAGCTGTGACTTAATAGTGATGTGCTTGTGTATCAGATTGACAAGGGGTCAGCTGTGTTGGCTTGTTTAATGTCAACTTGATACACAAGCAAAAGGTACCAGAAAGGAGGGAAACTCAATTGAGAAAATGCCTCCATAAGATCCAGCTAGAAGGCATTTTAAAAATTAGTGAATCACAGGGGAGGGTCCAGACCTTTGTGGGTGGTACCATCCTTGGACTGGTGGTCCTGGGTTCTCTAAGAAAGTAGGCTGAATAAAACGGGGGAAGCAAGCCAGTAAGCAGCACTCCTCCGTGGCCTCTGCTTAGCTCCTGCCTCCAGGATCCTGCCCTGTTTGAGTTCCTGCCCTGACTTCCTTCAGGGATGAACAGTGCTGGGGAAGTGTAAGCAAAGTTAACCCTCTCCTCCCCAAGTGGCTCACTGTCCTGGTGTTTCATTGCAACAATGGAAATATAACTAAGACTACTGGCATGCAGACACAAGCATGGGGGTAAACAGAGTTAGTGCTTTTAGCACTTCTGGAAGGTTAGGACTTGATTCTGTGAAAAGCAGAGCTGCTGTGGACTTTGTTGGGGACAACCAGGAAAATGGTGTAAGTAGGGCCATATCTTCTCAAAGCTACCAGTTAATCCAGAGCAGGTCCATTTTTAGCTATTTCCATCTTTCCTGTTCTTAGGGGATATTTAAAAATATAATGTAATCTGAGCTAAAGAACATTTGATCTAGTTTAATTCTTCACTGATTCTGTTAGGAAACAAGAGTGATTGAAAATGAGGCAGGTGCTGACATCATGATTTCCACACCGTAAATTTCTTTTGATGTAGGTCCAACAAACATGAAGACTATAAGAGTTTAATTTACTAATGAGAAAAGTGCATGGGGAAAACATAATGGATGTACCTGTGTTCAGTGTTTGTTAGTTTTACCAATGTTTGTTTTGTAAATGTATGAAAAATATACTCAATTTTACATGTTTCCTTTGAGATAACACAGTACACCCAGTTTATAGATTATAGACTCAGTACCAAATGGGTGGTCATTGATCTCATGGAGGTAAATAGGATAATTCCAGGAAAGCATGTACAGCGGGAAGCAAAGATTCCCAAAGACAGAATTGTAGGTGAAGTGTATATTTATGGATGGTAGAAGTGTAAAGTTCGAGGAGACTCAGGTGGGCTTGTCTTTCTGCCAGGGAGTGACCCCCAGGAAGTACAAAAGGCATAATGTGAGGAGGAAGGAAAATGTCAAGAGCCCCCTGGCTCAGGCAGAGGACAAGGAGCCAAGGACCTGGAAGCATCCCCTCAAAAGTCCCCCTTTATGAATGTGTCTCTTGTTTGAGTAAGTCTTCTCTGATGTTTTCCACCTGACCATGTTGGTGTCACCCACCTGGCCATGTTAGTATTCAACTTCTGAGCAGAAGTAAGAAGTTGGGACAAGACAGTAAACACCAACAAAGGAAGGAAGTCTGAATATGGCCTGAGTTGAATTGACATTGTATGGTACAGTTATCATTTATGACTGTCATTTACCCTTGACAGTTTATCCTTAAAGTCAGATGGTGTGTCTTGATCATCATCTTTCTATCTGGCCTCGAATCAATTGTTTGTGAACATGTGAGTATGACTCTGAAGATAGGAGTATGACTGGGAAATAGAAGTGAAGGAAGATTACTATTTTTTTTGGAGATAGATTCTTACCATATAGCTCTTGAATGCATGACCTTCCTGCCTCAGCCTCTCAAGTGCTGGGATTACAGATGTGTGCCATAATGCTTGGGCAATTTTTATGAGAGAACAAATTGGTATGTTTCCATATCTAGAAAGTACTTATGGAATAAAATTTAAACTGGTAAACACTTATGTGTAGGGTCTAGGAGGAGATGGTAAAGAGGCACACAACCCAACACACACACACACACACACACACACACACACACACACACACAAAGTATAAACCCAGATTTATAAAATATTTTTTATGATAATGAAATCAAATAATGTGTGGATATAGACTGATTTCTGGGCATGGAGGAAAACGAGATATTCTGGTCTTGGGAACAGGAGATCCTTGAAAGTTTAAGGAGAAAGGAGCATTAGTTGCTCTTATATTGCTGTCATAAAACTTCATGTGTTTGTTTGGGCTTAAGGTTGCAGAGGGCCAGAGTGCCTGCTGGTGGAGTGGAGGCAGCATGTGGCAGGCACAGCAGATGGAATAGAAGCTGAGCGCTCACATCTTAAACTCCAAGAACAAAGCCGAGAAAGTGAGTAGAAACAGTGTGACTCTCTTAACTCTAAAAGCTCACTACCAGTGACACACTGCCTCCAAAAAGGCCACACCCTCTAAGCATCCCCAAAGGGTAGCACTAACTGGGGACCAAACATTAAAATGCTTGAGACTATGGGGGACACGTTCTCTAAACCACCACGATTACAATGGTCAAACCATTACAGAGACTTGCATTCTGGGTACTGAAATGGAGAAAGTATGTCATGAAAGTACGAAATGGAGAAAGTTTTGTGAATGTAATAGAAGAATAAGTGGACAAAGACATTGGAGTCATAGACTGGGCTTCCACAATGATGCACCAGGGGCTCCGAACAGACAGAAAGAAAAGGAAGCTGTAACAGAGTGATGGTGATGGAAGGGATGAGTGAGGAGCTTGTATTTGAGAGGCACAGTGCAAGCAA